GGTGTACAGGGTCATGCGCCACGCCCGACTGGGCATGTACACATATCACCTGCATCGCTGCTGACTGCCGGGGCGCTATAACCGCTATGTGCGGCCAGCGTGGTTACGACCGGCTCTCGCCGGCCGTCCGACGAATTTATCCGACAATATTAACATGAATTAACATGAGATAGCTTAACTTGATCAAATATATTCAATATACTCAATTTCATGACTTTTTGCTCGATGAACCAAAATGGTCGTTGGCGTGCGCCCGTGCGCCGCTTACGATTTCAAGCTATTTCTTCGACCGAACATGAAATTCTCTCGACTAACATGATTTAACTGAACATGAACTATTATATAATGATCAAATGAACATAATTTACTCGGGAGTTGTCAGGTAAAAACGAACTTCACTCGGTCACGGCCTAACATGGCCTAAACCGAACGTAATTCAACTTTTCACGATTCTTATGACATGAACTAATCATGGTGACTCTAAAATGATTATCTTAACAAGAATTAATGAGGAACATGATGTTACCTCTATAAGCTCTCGAAGATTTGAGCAAGTCTCACATGCTTCCTCGTCCCGTGTGTGCGTGCGGTAATTCTCGGCGATGCTCGCGGCTAGCTTCTCCACTTATGTAAACTCTCTCTTACTCTCTAAACTTAGTACTATTTAAGGAACATTTAGGGTGCTGAAAATGCTCCTACTATTATTATATAATGACGGCCAAAATGAATTGAAAAGGGGGAAAATTCACATTAAGAGGTGGCTTTACTAATCTCATGCCATTTGTCAACTAATGGAGACTTAAGGGTGCTTACTCATAATGAAGCTAGATTACTCATCACTTAGCATCCTCATTAGTTGACACCTCAAACCTTAGGGAAAATTAGAGTTTTCCCCCATGAATAATCTAAAGAAATGCCCACTAAAGCTACGACTTTTCTAAAAATAATGATACAAAATTACTTGATTTTACAATTAAAAATGCACACGGCATTTTTAAGAAAAATGGCCAACTTATTTGTAATGCACACGACATTAATTAGCTTAAACATGATAAATCTTAATTAAGCATAATCTATATACTTAATTAATTAACTAACATGATACTTAATTACCAAAATTATTCCGAACATGAACATGACTTCGAAAATAACTTCGAAGAATCTTGACTGGAATAATTAGTTCCGAACATAAACGTGACTTCGAAAATAATTTCGGATATTTCTGACTTGGACGATTAATCCGAATATTGATATTTCGAATAATTCGTGAACTTAACTTATTAATTCCGAACTCATTAATTAAATAAACGAATCGGAATTAAATCTTGAAACTTATCCGGTTACTGAAATAATTAACCGAATAATTTTATCGACTAATAGTTGGACTTGGAATATAACTAACTGAATAACTTGAACTTGAACATGAACATGATTATTTATTAACAAAGGC